ACTAAAGCTTCAGAAATTTTCTCTTTCTGCAATGATCTCCCAACACAGTGAGTGCTGTACATCCAACTGGGGCTTCCCTTTACTCCCTTGGTCTATTGCCGAAGGAAGTAGTTGACTATGTAGCACTCATGGATGGAATCATTTCTGAGGCATTAGAGCAAAAATAGGTCTGACAACAAGCCCCGTGACTATAGCTTTTCATTTATATTAATAACAAATCTATCTGATGAGATAGTACTTGCATAAACATTTTAAAAGATAAAAAAAAAAGTCAAAAGTACAGTAAGATGTAACTTGTTGTCAGTGTAATACAAGTAGAGTTTTGTAGGTAGTCTGCTCCTCAACGGTGTCTTTATCAATGTACATTTTTAATAAAACATATTTATATTTAAGTATTTTGCTCTGTAATCCCTTTTTATCTGGTTTGTCCTTGGGTGTTTTTTCATTTCTTGAGATTAGACTCCTAAAGAAGTTGGCTCAATGATCATTAGATAATAGTAATAAACAGACTTGGGAAAAGACATTGTTTTCAAAGTTACTAAGATTTATGAGAATGTTTAGGGATAGTGATGGAGAGGTAAGGCTTCTGTATTTGTATTCTTGGGAGAATTGGTACCTAGTTCGGTAGTTGTAGATTTGTGTGATGGCAGAAGTCGATAACCCTTTGAAGAAATTGATTACAGTGATTAGGACTTATTGTTAAGGAAATTGATTTGACATGGCAGAGGAGTTATTGACAGTAATAAAACTTTATCCCATGGGTGGAACCTAAGGGCTTATGAAATCTTGAAGGGCTGATGTAGATATAGACCAAGAGTAATGGGGTTTCAGACATCTTATTGTATTTTGTTCCTAATCATAAAGAAAAATGCTATTTGTATAGAGGACTGGACTGCATACATGTGTTATGCTAGTATTTAGGGCTGAAAAGACATAATGGGTTGAATATAACAGTTTCAGTCTTTAGATTGTTAATTGTTATGAGGATACTTGGTTTGGTTATAGATTTATGACTGGAGACATCAAACTTGAGCCCTTTCTAATTTCCAGTTGGCACAGGATGGGCAGATTTTGTAAACGCTCAGAATTTAAGAAGTTTAGAAAAAAGTATGCATTTCTTTTCAATTGTGTTTTTCTCACCATGTAACCCAGAAAACAAATAGATAAATAAAGAACTGTGATCAGGTATGCATGGAATGTTTAGCTATTATACATTTTATGTTTTATTCCAAATTATGAAAAAGAGGCTTAAACAAAGAACAAAAGGCGTTTCTTTTCTTTATTTGCGATTATGTTTTCAGTGATAGTTACACCTGGATTGGCATAAATATCAGTCACTGATCATTGATCATCTAAAACTCAAAATGGGTCAAAGTTCTCAAGGATTGTTACCTTCAAGTCTCCTCTTTTAGGTTGAAGATAATGCTTGCACATGAGAAAAGGAACCGCTAGGTACTTGAATGAAGGAAGTGCAAGTGTATAGACCCTGGTTGAAGNTAAATGCTCTTCTAATTTAACATTATATATATAATATTTGTAGCTACTCAGCTCCTGTTTTACTGAATAGCAAAGACACATATATGAGATAGTCCTAGCATGTACATGTATGACATCGAATTATATTCGGAAAGAAGTAGTAGTAAATAACACTTAATAATATACTCTAGAGTGTGATCGGGTCAGTTGTTGTTTCTCGAAATGGCACTGTTTATGTCTTCGTTTGTTTTGGTGTATAGAGAGTTGATAATGATAAGTAGTAGATTTGGTTAGAGTGGCATCAGATATGCATATTGGCTCGCCTGTGTATGTAGACTCGCTGTGGGTGGGTGGTCTTATAGGGATGCACAGGGCGGATCGGGAAGTTTACCACTACTACATCAGTGAGGCGGTAGTAAACATAACTAATCTTCGTTATTACCTCACATATAATATTAACTTGGCAATTAATTACAGAATTATTAAATAGGTATATTATGCAGGATCGAAAGCAAACTAATATTATAGATAAACTCTTGAGAGAGAATAGAATGAAAATCGTTACAGAGCATTGAGGACAGGCTAGAAGAGTTAGGAGTTTATGCGATCGATGGACGCATCTGAGGGTTCGTAGGGAAAGAGGCTAGTATGAAAGATAGAGAGAGCGCCGAGATGAGGTAGAGAAGTTTGCAAGGTGACAATTAAGAAAGTTAAGATGGAAGATAAGGGCACAATAACTACGCTAATGAATATAACATATAGACAATTAAATAATGATTACTGTATTTTTAGATAAGACTTATGATTAATAGCATCTCAGTTAATAGTGATTAAGAAAAATGGATATGAAGTAAGCAGTTTGAGATTCTATAAGAAATTTAGATATTGAGGATAGAATTATATTAATACCTATTTTCTCTAAAAATAATATTCTGAAACGGCATGGTAAAATAATAACCACGGTAAATGAACGCATGTTAAATGAATACACGTAAAATATCTTGTATAATCGTGTGGAAAATAACAATCTTCAGTTAAAAAGAAGGCTAAATTCATTAAAGGTGTTTACGCACTAGAAAGAGACATGTTTAAAACAAAATAAAGACTTAGGACCGCAGTCGCTGCCATTCCACAGAAGGTAAAGAACGGACTTTGAAATTTTCCGTCTGTGTTTAGACAGGATCTCTCGAAATACCGCTAAAAAAACGAAGTAATTATAGAAAAAGTATTGTAACCAGTGAAGAGGAAGAAAACTGCAACACATTTGGAGCAATCGTGTGAGACGCCATGTCGAATAAGGTGAAAATAGTGATGGTTGGCCCGCCCGAGGTAGGAGTCCGATACTGATTTGTATTCAACTTTATTAAATAATTATTTCTTATAGTTATGGGACAGTATACAATTGGATGTGGTAGCAGAGTTGAGTAACAATACATATATGAAATAATAGAACAGTACATACCAAGACAAAATTCTTTTGTTGCTATATATGTGCAAAAGCCTCCCTGAAGTGATATAATCCAAAGTTTCATCAGGAAAATAAAGTTAGTGAAATATAACACTAATTTTCTATATTACATCTGCTGCTCCGACATCGACGATTTTGGTATCGTTGGAATCCTCCCACACTATACAATGTAAATATGTAGGTTTTATTGGGCGGAAACCCCCCTTTAGCAACAAACTTGGCTCCAATAGCAGGGGAGGGCATGAAAGGTTCCAGGAAAAATGCGGGGTTAAATATCACTAATAATGTAACCCACATTGAAAATAACCATGGTTATTCACATGATTATAGTATAATCAAGATGAACAGGGTTTACCATGAACAGAAGAGTGGTGATGGCCCACCCTCATCTGTGGGTTTTGCGCCTCTCTCGATGTTACACCGATGGCCTTGGATGAAGGAGTGGAATCATATATGTACACTAGTAAGACGTATATTACAGTCAGCCAATAGATGGCAGTTATTATCCAATATAGTTACTGAAGTGACTATGTCGCCATCTATTGTATAAGAACGTAGCCTCAAGGTCGAGTTTCCTGCCCTCCTGAACCATATATTCCTATTCCTAACCAAAATAACCAGAGCGGTCGGTACTCCGCCATAGCTGCCGCGATGACCGAATGTGGAGGGTGCTCCAACTTGGAGACCGATTTCAGGAGCACTCTCCCTACTATCAGCCGCATCTATTAATCAGGTTAGTACCTTAAAAATTTAGGTTATGGTAGGTTATCGGCTCCGCATCTAGTTTGTGTGTGCTCTATCCTGCTGTGAAGACATGGTCGATTCTTTGTTTCCTTGGCGGGGTTTGGGGGGGCAGAAGCCCCCTGCAATGGAAAGTCATGTGAATAACCATGGTTATTTTCACTGTGGGTTATATTATTAGGGTAATTTTCTATATTACGTCCACCGCTCTGACATCGTCGCCCCTGCTATTGGGGCCAAGTCTGTTGCTATAGGGGGTTTCTGCACAATAAAACCTACCTATTTGCATTGTATAGAGTGAGAGGAATCCAACGATACCAAAATCGTTAATGTCGGAGTGGTGGACGTAATATAGAAAACTACCAATATAAATTTTCCACGTGATCAACACACAAAAAAATAATAAAAAGTAGATTTTGGTAATTTTTTAGAAGACATCTGCCAGATGGATTGTGATGATTTCAGTATCGTTAGATTCCTCTCACCATCTACAATGCAAATATGTAAGTTTTATGTGCAGAAGCGTCCCCAACCCCACATTCTTGGCTCTGATATCAGGGGAGGGCATGAAAGGTACCAGGAAAATTGCTGGGTTAGATGTAAAAGATATACATAGAATCAGTCACTATATTGTCTAATACAGGGGGCTGTGCCCCCTGCGACCCCCTCATGGGGGGCTGCCACCCCCCATCTCCCGCCCAGGAAAACAAAGTATCCTCCACATATTCACGGTAGGTACGAGTGGACTACCACCACGCGGGAGAAGCGTTACCAAGTCTGTCCAACACACTCTTCTGCCAAGTTCTTTGTTTTCTTGGGCAGTGGTTGGGGGGCAGCAATCCCCCATGAGAAGGTTGCAGGGGGCATAACCCCCTGCATTAGACAATATAGTGAATGATTCTATGTATATAATTTACATTTTACCCAGCAATTTCCCTGGTACCTCTCATGCCCTCCCCTGCTATTGGGGCCAAGAATGTGGGGGCTTTGGGGGTTTCCGCACAATCATTTATATTTAATTGGAAACTAGACAGTGAGAGGAATCCAGTGGTACCAAAATTGTTGCGATTCGTTTGGCAGACATATTCTAGAAAATTACCTAGATTTCCAGTGGCAAATTATAAAATTTATTTCAAAAGCATCCTACTACCCTTTTATTTATTTAAACCATTCTAAAATCCATCAAATGTGGTATTTATGAATTCATAATGTCTAGTGTGCACATATTGTGGTTTTAGTTGCCACCAGGTGATGTTATACTAGACCCTGTAAGTGAAGCAAAGTTATCAGTTTGGCCTCTTACCTGAGTTAAATATTTAACGCATCTACCTGGCAGTATAGATATGGACAGGTTTGAGGAATGCATTCAGTGAGTGATGTCATGAGCCAGGTGAGGTGAAGGCTCTGTGAGGTAAACCTCTTGTGACACTGGCTCAGTCTGGGTATATTGAGCAAATTACACCATTTTTTTGCTTAACTACTAATTTAGATGAATATTACAGCTGTATTTTGTTAGTAGATACCAAATATGATGGGTTTTTAGATATGGACTATAATTGCACTTTCTGCATATGTATGAAGTTGCATATTTATTTGTAATTTGCTCTGGAAATGCCATAAATTAAAAGAACCTTATGTTTTATTAATCTACTGATTCCATGTACTGTACACTGTATAAGTCATGGTTGCCATTCATTGTAAAATCAGCTAATTTTGGACAGTTTTGATTTTTTTAGAACCATAAAATGACATAGAATTACATAGGCTGCATATTGCTGATTCCTGCATATACTTTGGGAAAGAGCTTTGGAATCCATGTGAAAATGTGATGCTAAGTGCTATTGAAGGTGAAGTAGGTGTGTATAGATGAGGCTTGCTTTGGACATGCCTGTAATTTCAGACAATAATCCTCATTGAACTCACTCTGAAGTTACATGTTTTTTTGTGGAAAATGGAAAAAATAATTATAATGAGTATCAGAGGATAAGAATGAATATTTGTGAGTATAACTAAAACCAAAGATGTTCATGACTTATTTATTTATTCTGCTTTTCAGTGTGGAAAAACAACACTAACAAACTTTCTAAGTGAGTCTGGAGAGGTGGGAAGTGGGGAGTACAGACCCACCAAAGGGTGCAGGATTCTGGAATTTGAAATGCCCAATGTAACCTATAACAATACTGCAGCCAGCGTGGAGGTTGAACTGTGGGATGTCAGTGGAGATAGGACGTAAGAAAAAGGTTTCTCTTGTTCCTTGTTATGTGTACTGGTACTCCTGATTTCTTATTTTACTGCATGGGGTGTGCTGATCAATGAAAAGATTAATTATTCTACTTAGTATGCATCTTTTGTTTCATATTTTTAGTATCTTCATTTCTAATCTTAGGCCACACCAATTTCATTTATTGCCTCTCGGATTAGCTGCTTCAATTTTGTGCATTTTGAAAAAAGCAGAAGTAGAAGCAGAAGAAGAAGACAAAAAAGAAGGAGAAGAAGAAGTAGAAGTAGAAGTAGAAGTAGAAGTAGAAGTAGAAGAAGTAGCAGAAGAAGTAGTAGCAGAAGAAGTAGTAGCAGAAGAAATAGTAGTAGAAGAAGTAGAAGTAGAAGTAGAGTAGAAGAAGTAGTAGTAGAAGAATAGTAGTAGAATAGTAGTAGAAGAAGTAGTAGTAGAAGAAGTAGTAGTTAAGTAGTAGTAGAAGTAAGTAGTAGAAGTAGAAGTAGTAGTAGTAGAAGAAGTAGTAGTAGAAGAAGTAGTAGTAGAAGAAGTAGTAGTAGAAGAAGAAGTAGTAGTAGAAGAAGAAGTAGTAGTAGAAGAAGTAAAGAAGTAGTAGAAGAATAGTAGTAGAGTAGAAAGAAGTAGTAAGAAGTAAGTAGTAACTAGAATAATGATAATAATAAAAATAATAATTAAAAAAAAAAAAAAATAATAATAAGAGGAGGAGGCCGGATCAGAAACTACTACAGGTTTTGCTTTTGCTAACCTGCAAATATTGCCACTATCAGAGGCACATGCTGCCAGAAACCAATTAGAGAGCTTCTTTGTAGTCACATGCTAGAGGACAACCAATCAGAAAGTAGTAGAAGAAGTAGTAGTAGAAGAAGTAGAAGTAGAATAAGAAGTGTCGTATCTTTCAAAACAATATAGCACCTTTTGAGGTTTTGTTGTGTGTCGCTCTAAACTCTAGAATTAAACTAAATTTATATTTCCAAACTATAAGTTTAGTTTTTAATGTTACTGGCTTATTAAACTTTGGATTGGCATACAAAACAAAAATTACAATAATGGTACTAAATGCAACATTCATAAATTCAGTCAAAAACAATGCTCTTTATTTGAAATTGTTGTAATAGATCAAAGGACGGGATTCATTACATAAAACGTGCCATGAAAATCTGAAAACTTGATTAATCCTGTTATTTTTTATGTTCTGTAAGCCCTTTATCTTCACCCCAGACTTTTTGCTTTTTTTTTTTTGGCAGTTACTACAATTTTTAAATGAATTTTTTTTTCTTATGTATTCAGTTATCTATGATAATACTTGTTTCAGTATGGTCTGGAAAAGTTATTAGTGTATCAGATGTGAATATAATAATTTATAACATGTCTTTTACATATAAACTGAAGTGAGTGACTTTGCTAGATCAGACTGGGAATGAAGGCCCGGTAAACACACTGCCAGCATTTCAAGAGACATCATTTCAGTTTCTTTCTCTCATTAGCTATGAGACGTGTTGGCCCGTCATTCAGCGAGGAGCACAGGGAGTTATCTTTGTGTACAGCCCCGGGAGAGACGAACATGCAAGAGTCCTTGATA